AAAATTCACATTTAATATAAAGTTATTGAGCGGTGTAACACTTAGTAAAAGTTACACTGGTGTCGTTTAAACCCTCCTATATATATATATATATATATATATATATATCGGATATGGACAAGACTAAAGTACTATAAGAGGGAACCGAAGAATCCTCGGTACATATGTTCTAGGGAGTCCTTGGCTAGGTTAAAACAACCTATTTCACTCCACAACTATCAAGATTATTAGATTACTAATTGGCTTGGTTATGGGCCTTGGTCCATTAAGATTAGTAAATACAAGTAATTAGGAACCGGTAAAGGTACGCTTTCATAATTACTAGTTTGGATTAGTATTGAGATCTCTAATGTCGAGAGCTGACTTAAGCATTAGGGTGTCTTTTGCAAGTACTCCACTCTTTTTCTAGGACATCATGATAGACGAAGACCCAATAGGAGTAGAAAAATTACTGGAGTACCCTTATGCAAGTACATTTTGGAACCTACCGTGGGGTCGATTTTGTAGGCCTGTGTTGTTTATTTTTTTTGTAGGAAGAAGAGTTCGTAGAAGATGGTTACTACCAGGAAGAACACCCACTCGGTTGAATAGGACTCGAGGCCGATTGCTCTAGAAGATCAAACTAATCTCTCAGATGTTATGAGATTGCTCTAAAAAGAGATGATAACTATCAAGAGAGCTCTTGAAAGGGATGCTCAAGAACTTGAAGCACTTAAAAGGGAGAATGCAGAGCTAAGAAGCCTGAACAGGACTTGGAACCCCACCGTACATGCCAACAATGAAGCCTCATCTTACCACATCCTTACAACCCCATATACCACAGCTCCCCCTCAAATTGGCACCATAACCGGATCTTATAAACATCCATCCACTTAGAGCATCATGGTAACAATCTTATATGATAATCGGAGGAATCTTCCTCTAGAGAAATATGAGGGATCCTTGAATCCTGACGATCATTTAAACGCATACCTTACACAAGTTAACACTAGGGTTAGCCTAGTGGTTGGGTGGAGAGGGCTTGGGGTAGTTAGAAGCACGAGAACCTAGGTTCAATCCTCATTGCGACCATCTTTGTAATCTTTCCTATCTTTACCAAAAAAAAAATACCTCACACAAGTTACTTTGCTGACACAAGAAGATGCCACACCGTGTTGCATATTCCTTACTTCCTTGAAGGGTCGAGCACTGAATTGGTTCATCAAATTCCCCCTACATCCATAAGTTCATTTGAAGAATTGTCATCCTCATTCATCGCAAAATTTGCCACTGGACGACCGTACCAACTGGCATCATTAGCATTGTCCAATCTTAGACAAGAGAAGAAAGAGTCCCTTCGATCTTTCATGGATCGTTTTAACAAGATTGCTATGGAGATAAAAAATTTGAATTCGGCTATTGCTATGGATAGGTTGAACACGACATTAAACCAAGACCTTTCGTGAACAGACTATGCAAAAAACCCTCATTGGATATGAATGACTTGAAGAAGGGTTAAAAAATATATGCAAATAGACGAATTAGCCGAATCAAGAAACCAAGCTAGAGCTGAAACTATGCCAAACAGAAGAGAAAATGAAAAACAAAATTACCAAAAGACTTAAAGAGAGGATATTGGGAAAAACTATCAAGTAAAAAGACCTCGTTACACTGACTATACACCCCACTAAACACAAGCAGAGCACAGATATTGGAACAAGCCCTGGCGTAAAAAATTTTATGCATCCCGAGAAGAGCCCATACACTCCCAAGGATAGACCTATCAAAATCATGTTCGTATCATCAAAACCATGGTCATTCAACAGAAGAATGTGCTATTTTAAAAGATAAAGTGGATGATTTAATAAAACAAGGACATTTGAGAAAATATGTCGAAAGTCAGTATACTAACTAAAGGTGATGGAATCATGCTTTGGAGTGCAAGAGGTGACATACTCAAAGAGCCAAGAGGTGACATACTCAAAGAGCCAAGAGGAGTGGGCTAGACATGGAAGATTGGGCCTTGACTGGCCCAATGGGCCCTATGGGCTTGGAAGGCCCAAACCAAGTTTCAACATGGGCCTATCTTGATATGAACATTCTTATTATATTTTGTTAGCATAGTTTGAATATATTTTGGCCTTGTATTTTGGACCACATAGAGTAGCATTTTAGGTTTTAGGCTTGTTGGGCTTAGTTTTGGGCTTCATGGGCCTTTGGGCTTTTGGTACCCAATATTGGGCTCATTTTCATTCTTGTAATTTTTCCTTTCCATTGTATTTGTTAGACCAATGTATTTAGGTCATTAGAATAGGAAAATACAAGGAATACTAAAGTAGGCTAATTAGGTTAAATTAGGTTTAATTTGGAAGTCATTTAAGTTACATTTGAGTCACATGTTTTGTTTAGCACCATGGGTGGCTGAACATGTGCCACTCAAATTAACCCTAAATAACTCTCAAATCAAACCTAAATGGCACCTTGGTACCTAAATTTTCGGACTAGCACATGGGAGCCAAAATTTGAATTCAAATTTCAAATTTGAATTCAAATTTTGGGCGCCACATGTAGTCTTTGAGTTAGGCTCCCAAAGAGTGCACATTCGGAACCCTACTTAAGTGTTTCTCCTACACATTGTATTCACTTTTGAGATTAATAAAATTGGAGAGCTTATTCAGCCCAATTTTCCCTTGAAAGTCACCGTGAGAGAGAGCTACACTTTTAGGAATCCATTAGGTTTTTCCTCCTCTTTGAAGTGAGCTCTCCCTTGAACCTTAAGTTTGGATGCTTCCATCCAAGGCTTGGCCTCATTCCATCCGTGTTTCTTCATCGTTCAAGTGTTCATAGCTGTGGATTCAAGTCTCCTTTGAAGAGATCCTAGCATTGGTGAATTCAAGGAGAAGTTCATCTTCCACTTCTCCTAGTGTTTGCCATCGAAAGGTACAATAATGAGAAAAATAGTTACTCTCAAAGAGGAAGAGAAACAGTAAAACAAGAACGTAGATCCGGAAGGGAGAGGAGTCGGTCAAGAGAAGGAAAAAGAGAAAGAAACTCTAGAAATCAAGAAAAAAGAGTCATCAACACCATCTTGGGAGGATTTGCAAGCGAAGGAGCAACCTCTTATGCTCGAAGAAAGACACTTGAGAGCAGTTAAAACAGTAAATTTTGTAGAAAAAAGGAAAAAGAAAATGGCCACTATAACTTTCACATATGAAGATTTTAAGGGGGTAGATCCTGATAAGGACAATCCTATGGTTATCAGTGTGGAGATCAACAATTGCATCGTCAAGAAAACCTTGGTAGATCAAGGAAGTTCAGCTGACATATTGTACTAGAAAACATTTAAGCAAATGGGAATTCCGGAAGAAGAACTGAAACATTATGATGAACCACTAGTAGTTTTTTCTAGAGAACGAGTGACAATGAAGGGATGGCTCGACCTTTACACTTGCTTCGGTTACGATCAAGAGACTTCAAAAACTATAAAGATAAAATATATTGCGGTGAATACAAATACTTATAATATTATGCTAGGAAGACTGTTGATCAATGCGCTCGGAGCCATTGTCTCAACACTGCATCTAGCCATGAAATTTCTTGGAGAATCACGTAAGGTAATTATGATTCATGCTGATCAAAAAAATGCGAGAGAATGTTACATGGTCAGCCTGAAAATACGACAAATGGTGGAACATGAAGACAAGAAAATGTACATATGATAACACTAGAAACAAAAAAAATGTTAGACACTATAGACTTGGATCCACGGTTAGGAAACGAAGACTTCAGAGTGGAACCAAATGAAGAAACTTTATCTTTCTAGTTAGGAGATAAAGAAGGACAAGATACATATATCGGATCTAAACTTGAGAATGATGATAAAGAAATGATACAAAAAGTAGTAAGAAAGAATAAAGAATTATTTGCATGGACAGTGGAAGATATGGTTGGCATCGATCCCACATTTCACTATCATCAGTTAGCAATATGCGAAGCAAGACCGGTGGCTCAACGCAAAAGAAAAATGGGTGAAGAAAGAAGAAGAGCATTAAAGATAGAAGTATAAAAGTTGGTAAATGCACGGTTCATATGAGAAGTACAAGGCATATTAGTAATGGTGAAAAACGCCAATAGAAAATGGAGAATGTGTGTAGATTACATTGACTTGAACAAGGCATGTCCTAAAGACGCATGCCCTCTCCCCAACATCGATCGACTTGTTGATGGCACTGGAGGCCATCAAATTTTTAGTTTTCTAGACGCATATTCGAGGTATAACCAAATTAGAATGTACCCAGGAGATGAATAAAAAACAACGTTCATAACATAATCAACAAACTATTGTTATAAGGTGATGCCTTTTGGTTTAAAGAACTGTCGTAACCGGGATCACGACGGGATGACGCTAACATTTCTTGAATCAACAACAATAATCCCTCTCTACATATGAAAAGGAGTTATTGGAAGTAATGTTTGCTGTCCAAAAATGGAGGCACTACTTGTTAAATAGACATTTTATTATCAGGACTGATCACAGGAGCCTCAAGTATATGTTAGAACAGAGATTAACTACCACTTTTCAACAGAAATGGTTAGTTAAATTGATGGAGTTTGCTTTTTCCATCGAATATAAGCAAGGGGAGGACAATATTATTGCTAACGCCCTTTCTAGGTTGGGAATTACAGATTTTTGTGTTATCCAAGCTCATCAGTTAGAATCTGATTTATTAGCCCGAATCAAGCAATCTTGGGAAAGTGATGGTGATATTCAAAGGTTAGTCAGTGAGATTCAAGCCAAAACAACTTCACATAAACATTTCAGTTGGGATAAAGGGGAGTTAAGGAGGAAGGGTAGGCTGGTTATTGGTAATGATTTCAAATTAAGATAGGATATTTTGGGTTGGATGCATACAACAGCTTCAAGTGGTCATTCTGGAAGGAATGCAACCTTCCAAAGACTAAAGGCAATGGTTTATTGGAAGGGCATGACTAAGGATGTGAAGGGGTTTATCCAACAATGTAGTATTTGCCAAAGATGTAAGTATGAGACAGTGGCATCTCCTGGTCTCTTGCAGCCCTTACCTATTCCTGAGCATGTGTGGCAACATATTACTATGGACTTTATTGAAGGATTGCCTAGTTCTTATGGGAAACAAGTTATTTTTGTGGTAGTTGACCGACTAAGCAAAGCAGCTCATTTCATGGCATTAGCTCACCCATATACTGCAGCTGAGGTAGCTCAATCTTTTCTGGACAATGTCTTTAAATTGCATGGGTTTCCTGAATCCATAACAAGCGATAGAGATGCTATTTTTGTGAGTCAATTCTGGAAGGAACTTATGGCTTTCCAAGGAGTACAGATTCAACCTTCTATAGCTTACCACCCTCAGACAGATGACCAATCTGAGGTAGTGAATAAATGTCTTGAAACTTATCTCAGTTGTATGTGTGCTGACACTCCCTTACAGTGGTCTAAATGGTTGGCTTTAGCTGAATGGTGGTACAACACCAATTATCACAACACAATTAAAGCAACTCCTTATGAAATAGTATATGGTCAGCCCCCACCTATCTACTTACCATATCTACCTGGTGAATCTAAGGTGGAGTTGGTAGACAGAAGTCTTCAAAGGAGGGAGGAAATGCTTAAACTTTTGAAATTTCACATGAGGAGAGCCCAAGATCGAATAAAGCAATTGGTTGATAAACACAGATCTGACAGGAAGTTTAACATTGGAGACTTGGTCTATGTGAAGTTACATCCATATAGACAAATTTCAGTAGCTTTCAGAATCAATGCTAAATTGGCTCCTAAGTATTTTGTACCTTACAAGATCATCGATCAAGTGGGATCAGTGGCTTACAAGCTGCAACTTCCAGCTGAATCAAAAATCCACAATGTGTTCCATGTTTCTCAATTGAAAAAGCATGTTGGAGAAGTTACTACTTTTGTCAATATTCCTATTTCTGCTACTGATTCCAGCAATGAGAAGGAACTAGAAGCTATAATTGATCGTATGACAATTAAGAGACAAGGCAAGGCAATCACCAAAGTACTTGTACAATGGAAGCATCGGCTACTTGAAAACTCAACTTGGGAATTTTTTACTATGATTTGATGAAAAAATTTCCAAATTTCCATCCTTGAGGTCAAGGATTTTTGTAAGGGTGGGGCATTGATATGGGTCAAATTGTAATTAGATGGAATTACAGATACTTAAGTGAGGATAGTTAATAATAAGAGGATTTATTTTTGGTCAAAGTTCTGTGTTTTAGTAGTTAGTAGTTCGTTGGGAAAACCAACTAGTAATATTAGAAAACTGTCTAATTCAGAATTTGGTTACTTAGTTTTGTAATCAAATTTCCCAATCTTGTGAATCAATCTACTGTCTCATAACTCTTTCTATTCCAGGGTTCTCTGTTCTTCTTAGTTCTTCGGGTTAATTCCTTAATTCCTAGAACTGATCATAACATACCTATAAAAGACACTTCAATATTCAAGTAAGAATGAACTCGTATATTAAGAAAAGTGATAAATGAACAGTAATTTTATTTCATTTTGTGTGACTATTTATACCGACCATAAAAGACTTTGGTATGGTGGGCCTTGTACCATGCTTACCAATTAGGTAATATGGCCACAATGATTGATTATTCCTTAATCTTGCTTGCTTTCTTCATTAGTCACTTAATTCTCGTTGTATGTTTGGAAGCTTAATAACATCGACTATCTCGACCTATTCGACAATAGAAAGTGACAAGCTAAGTGAAGGGAGTTTGTCTTGGTCTATTCAGGGGTTGAGAGGATCTAGGTTAAGTCCTAGTGGTAAATGACTTCGTTGAACTTTGGCATCGGTCTGTTGGTTGTTTCGACTACCAAAGTGGCCGAAATTGAGGTGATGATGTGGTATGCACTTTTTCTACGATGTTGGTTTTGTTTTCGTGGTTGAATTGATCGAACGAGGAAGAGACACATGACCTTCAGCTCCTTTATGGTATAAAATGTATTTTCAAATAAATTATTTGTCAAATACTAAATTTGAAATAATATTTTTTCATTTAATTGAAAATATACTTTTGATTATATTATTTTATTATTATTTATTTAAAATTTCATCACGCTCTTTATTATTGTCGGTTATGAATTTTAGTTATTTGATTTATGCTTTTTTTCAAGTAAATAATGAGTTAGAACATTAAAAATTGAATATTTATTTTATTTAATTTTTTGTCCAATTACTATACATTTATTATATTTATTTTGTAAATAGAAGGAAAAAAACTCTAAAAAATGTTGGTTCAATTACTTTCTAATTCACCCGTCATTACTTCATTAAGACCATAAATACCAACAATACTATCGTTTACTTGATGTATGGTACCTTTTCTTACAAATTTTTTATTTTAGTATTATATTAATTAATATGTTCATGAATAATTTTACTTATCATGTTTATTCTTGATATTAAATTTTAAGAAATGATAGTTTAAAAAATAGATTAATTTTTTAAAATTAGATTAATTACTAAAATTAAATGATGTTAATTAACTTTCTTATTTTATGTGATTTTTTTTCTAATTATATTCAAAATTGAAGAAAAAAACATTTAAATCTAATGAAAAACATATAATGTTCCAAAAGTTACTCCAACTTATCCAATTTTCTACATCTAAGACACATGTCACCCTATTGTAATACCTCGTTTCTCAAAATATTAATATTAATATTAATATTATTATTATATAGTATTTGGTCAATATTATTTTTTATTATAGGAGGAAAATATTTTATATTATATATTTATTTAATTATTTTGGAGAAAAGAGAAGCGAGTCAAGAAGAGAAAGAAAATGGATTATTTTTAAGAAAGGAGTCAAACAGAGTCAACCCTATCTTCTTCATATTTTGCCTTCTGAAGGGTTAGGAGAGAAAGAGATACAAAATAAAGAGCTTTGACGAAGAGTGCTTAGGAACAATCTTAATTGGCATCAGGATTATTCATATTAACGTAACTAGTTACGGAGAAAAACATATTTTTGTATGCA